AGTGTCCCATACGTGGTCTTAAGACAAATGACCACGCAATTGTAAAATTCTACGTCGCAATGCAACGGGATTGGCCTGTACGTCGTCCGTCGCTGATTCTAATGACGCTAATATTTTTTTTTCCTCTAATCATTCGCCCGGAGAAGCGTTCATTATTTCGCAATTCCTTGGTCCTTAAGCACCGGCGTGTACTTAAGTTGCGCACAATTATTGGCACGATACCGTTCACGTCGGATGCACCTTCTCGCGAGGCAAAAAGCGCACGGCGGCGCGTACTCGGCAAACGCGCGTAGAGAGAAAGACGCTATTCTTTAGACTTTACGCTCGACGTGATCGTAATCGTGGAGATCGTGAAAACTAATTCCGGCTGAATACCGGATGAATCAGGATTATACGGCGGTCAAAAGTGCAGTGGATGAGTTCTATCTTTTACGTCTATAAACGATGTAAAATACATCTGTCTTCAGAATGTGTAAATCACATTTCTCACGTGTTTCTCTTACAACCTATACGATCGCAATTAATCTGAAAGTTTAATTATTTTGTTTACTTATTTGTTTAATTATTTTGTATACAGCAATAAAAATCCGTGAAGTGTATTAAAAGCATTCGAAGTATCTCGATTTCTTGAATTTCTTGAAATATTATTCCAATGCTCAACTAGATTATATTATCTATAAGCGCTCTTGTATGCGGGATATCCCGACAATTTTTCAAGAGGATATCTCGAAAATTCCAAAGGCGTCGACACCCGACACCCCCGGGAATGGCATCGGACGCTGCGATAAAAAGTTTTACCTCTCTCAACTCTTCTTCGTCCCGAGTTCTCGCGTGCTCGGATGTAACTCGGTGCAACAGGTTCGCGGCAAGGATTGACTGCCGATTGATCGCGATTCCCACGAATGCAGTCGCTGTCGGTGAAACCGCGGCCGCGCGCGGGAAGAGCCGGAATCCGTCGGCGGATGCCGCGAATGTAATCGGCCGGCGCGGAAATTGTCGGTTCCACGATGTTGCGCGCGCGAATTAAGCCGCGGCGGCGCTCGCTGAAAATGATTAATAAATACGACTTCGGGGACTGTCGATCGGGGCACCGCCGTTGTGTGCGTGCGTCCGTGCGTGCGCGCGTATGTGTGTGTGTGTGTGCGCGCGTAAGCGGGCCCCGGTATTTTGTCAGAGACGTGCACTTATCCCATCATGCACGCCGCCCTTTCGTTTCTACCTTTTTCCCTTCGGTTTCCTCGCGCGCTCTATCGTATCCACCTACCCGCTCCTCCCCCTTGCCATACACACACGCGGGCGCACCGTGCACACACGTGCACACGCACGCACATGCGTTTTAAGTACACGCAAAAGCTGTGTTTATCATTCCACGGCAGCCTTCCCGACTTCCTCCCCTCCCTTCTTGCCCATTATCCGCTCGTCCGATGATTCTACCTTATTACCTGCAATGTAACGTGCGTCTACGGGGCGAGGGTGCAGTCATTGACAAAAAAAAAAAAAAAACGTTGAGGAATTAAGGCAACGCGCGCGAGCAATTTTTCCATGACTTTGAGAATTGTTTAGGCAGGAAAGTTCGCGTCGCGCGACATCGCGACGTGATAGGAATAAATATTTCAGGCTCTTCTCCTTAATTCAATGACGACTAATTAATCCCTCGTAAAGAAAGATCTGTCAAGTGTAACGTCCCGGGGGAAAAAAAAGCCGATTTCAACAGATTAAAATGTTTCGCGGAGCGTTAGACGTCTATTAATCAAAGGTGCAGCGCTTTTCTGTAAGCGGTTGATCAAGCATATGGCTTCCTATAAATTTCACGCAGCGAAAAAGGACTGGCTCGAGAGAGTTGAATCATCATATACGCATATACACGCGTGCGTTCGCGATACCTCCGGCCGGATGATTATAATAAATTCGATCGCAGCGTGTGAGCGGCGAGAGACGCGAGAGATGCTGCCATAGACGCAGCGGCACAGACGTACGTTACACTACGAACCGCAACCGACATGCAGTGGGTCAATTCGATTCCGCCTTTAATGACTGCTCGAGTGATGGGAGGGAGGGGAAGAAACGGGGGAGGGGAGGGGGAGAGGGAAGCCTTTTAATAACCCTTTCCCTTGAACCCCGCTCGATCGGAGGTTCGAAAGTCGCGGCAAGGTTAAGTACTTGCACTCCGCTGCTCGTCGGAGTGCCCTTTCTTCCGGTTTCGTACGGGACAGCGCGGATCGCCGTTGATTACGATAATTAACTCTTCTTTCCTCGTCGACAAATTTATTCGCGACGCATCTCCCGAATTTTTAGGAGGGAGGCAGCTGCGCGAGGGAGCTCGAGCTCTCGAGAAATCTCGAAAAGCAATGAAGTCCAATAAATTTATCAAAGATGCAAAAGTAATGTTATATAACTGATGCTAAACTCAAATAACTTTTTCACTTTTAAGCGCCATTTTAAAGCACCTGTTATATTCCCTAACTAGCAAAGCTTAAGATATAAGGAAGTCGTACAAAAACAATTTAAGCGATAACTCCGCGTGTACAAAGTTAGTATTATATAAAAAAAAAACAACAAAAATCTAAATTCTCGCGGTGCGCACGAAGATTTACGAGACCGGACGAGGGTAATGAAGTTTTCCCTTTGTTTCCTCTCCTCTGGCCGCGAAGGGGAAGAAAGGAAAAAGGGGCACGAAAGGGACTGCGTGAAAGGATGGCCACTGGATAATTTCATGTCGACGAACGTACTGCATATGCAAGTGCCATTGCAGTGTCACGACACGAGGACTGGCTAGCGTTTGCCATTGTGTATGTACGTCGGCACGTACACTATCCTCGAAAAGTTTCCCGACGTACATACGATAAAAGCTCATATGTTGAGGGAGTTACATATATATTCGGAAAAAACTGGCGGCGAATACGAAGCACGTAAATATATACCTATATACACGCACGTAAAAGAAATACGTATAAAGTGACTCAAAGGGCTTTTTTCACTCGTAAAATTTCTTGTTATTGCTGCTGGGAATCTTTCTGCCCTCGCTGCCGCCGACGTCTGAAAACTTTTCGGCGGTAGTATACGAGCCGAAAGTACGCGTGTATCTCTAAGTTGACGATACGGTCCGCTTCTTATTTATTTTTATTTTTTTTTATTTCGTTATTTGTACGCGCCGCGAGTTTCTTTGTCGTGCGAGCGTATACGCGTGATTTACGATTAGGACGAACATTTCGCAAGCAAAGTTACGGAAGCGCGATATCTTCGATGCTAAAGTATATAAAGCGATAAAATATAGAATGAATTTTTTTTTGTCAACTCGATCGTCTCCGCGCGATTGCACAACGCATCGTAAAAGACTTTGACTTTTAAATCGCGCTCGGAATTAATTGCCATTTCGCGGGGGCAAAAAATCGAATTTAATAATTTTATTGTTTAATACGAACATGAGATTGTCGAGTTAAAAATAAATCTCGGTGTTTTACTTAAAAAAAAAAAGAACTTTTACGAATTAAACAGAATTCGAACGCGATCGATATTCTAAATTAATTTAAGGAACAAAAGAATCTGCATTATTTTTAAATATATATTTGTTACATTTTTAACGCAAAATGATTAAAATATATGACAATTAAAGAGATTCTCACAATTTAAATTTTATAAATTTCAAAAGATGTCCGAACGATGATAGCCGCATTTAGAAAGAAACTGCGACTGTTTGAACAAAAGCCTATAAGATTCAGACAAATTTATTCAAATTATTTCATCGTATGCTGCAGCTCAGATTTCTTAATTTTTCTTACATATTTAGGCAATCGCTGTTACCTTAAAACATCAATAATTTCTAACTTTTTGTAATATAATATTGCCGCACATATAATACACATTTAATTCTTCAGAACATAAAAATCTAAATCCAAGCTGCTTATCGCTATACAACGTTGCACATACGTTATCTTTTTGCGATAATGTAAAACATATTTTCTGGTATCTCAAATCGCTTCGGAGACGCTCGCTCGTTATGCTTTCCACGAAATCGAATCGACGAGCAAACTCCCCCTCGGTCGTGCTCTGGCAAAAACGCGCGTCCTATAATAAAAGCAGTTCTTTCTCTTCCCATATAAACCCGTCATTACTTCCCCAACACCGACTCATTTTCGACATCATTGTGATTCCGTTGCATATTCAGATACGCGAGCGAGCGAGACCGCGAGATGTTATTCGTGCTTAAACGCCGTAAAAACGTGGCTATCGAGAAAAATACCGCGATCGATCGATCGCAAAATTACGGCGCTATCAATATATATTTAAACCGTTCTCAAATTAAATTTATATAAAAGCGGAACGAGAGTTTGCTCGACTTGCGTTCCGTTCTCTTGCCTCGCATCTTTTATTTTATTTATTTTTTTTTTTTTAATGGACTACTTATTTTAAAGACATTAAAAAAAAAATTATATATATATAGAGCATTGCGATAAAACATAAAATAGAAATTAAAAGTTTGCTAGAAATTTACATGCGATAAAAACTTCTAAATAAAAAAATAACAGCGAACAATCGTATGATGTTATTATTTGGAAATAGAGCGGTCAAACGAACGTTGAAAGAAACGAAAGAATGAGCACAGCTGAAATCAACACAATTCTGGGCCTCGATTATGAAACGATATGACAATATTAACAATAAGAAATGAATCACTTGAATGTACATTTGGCGCAGCCTACTTGCATTTCGCTTGACAATACACCAAGATACAATCTACACGATCTTTTCTAATGTAAATCTCGCGAGTCTTCAATCGTCGACGACAAATTCTCATTCGGTTTCCCTGGCAGCTCTGCTACACGCCGCGAACTACACGCTGGTACGTGTTCGGATGAAATCTCCGACGGCGTAAAGCAAGTGCCCGAAAGCAACAGCCGAGCCAAGATTCGAGACGCGAGGCGAGAGAATTACGGGCGCGCGCAGGACGAAGAAAGGAGATGAAACGAGATTAAAAAAAAAAAAAACAAAAGCGTACTCACCAAAGCGAAGTCGTGCGCTCGAAACGTCAGATCCCCAAGGTTCCGTAGAGCCCGAACTCCTCGGCGTGGAGCGTGGAGTGGAGTGGCGTGGGCTCGGAGTGGCGAGGACGGGGCGCGCGGGAGGGAGGACAGAAGGAGGGCCGATGCACCCGCGCGAGAGGCGGCGGGCTGCTGTAAAATGCAAGTTACGCAACACGCAACTGGTGGTGCACACGCGACGCGGCCGCGATCGAAGGCAAAAACGTCAGAGAGTGTCGCGACGGACGTCACACCGGCGCGGCGTGTCGTGATCGCTGTGTCGTTTGTCTGCGAGTGTACGATTATCGAACGTACCGCGACGGGAAAAGAGAGACGAACACGCGGATCCTGAGCGCGCGAAGGGGGGGGGGAGAGAGAACGCGAGAAAGGATGACAGATCGGAGCGAGCGTGCGAGAGAGAAAGAAAGCTCTCGTGTTTTCGTAAGAGAGAGAGAGGAGAAATAGACGGAGCGAAACAGCGCGACGAGAGATACGCGCGCGAGGCGTGATCGTGCTTAGGGGCGTCACTCACGAAGCACCGCTTTCACGCGCCGCCGAGAGAGTAGGGCGCTCTCCGCTGATAGCCGCGCAAAAATCGGCAAAATCCACAAACCCGGCGTAGCAACGCTCGCTCGCTCGCTCGCCCGCTGCACTGTCCGCTGCGCGCACTGCCCGAGCGCGTTTACGTTCACTCCGTCGTTTGCACCGCTCTTGGAGTTTCGCGTTCGCGCGACTTCGGCCGCGCTCGGGCTCGCCCGAGCGAATCCGCGGTGGACTGGATCGTCGCCCGGCGGCGCGGCGAAGTAAGCGGCATAGTGCTGCCATCTCGCGCCGGTCGCGCAGACTTATTTGCAATACTTACGGTCGGTAAGTGTAGTCGATAACTTATCAACGGAAACTGGTTGGTAAGTTATCGACTATGCAACACCCGCGGCACATACGACAAATCCCTTATCTCCGTCCGACTTGTCACGAACATTCGAAGTCACACTCGGTTACTCACTGTAATCTAATAAACGTCACGCGATCCGCGCCCGCGTGTCCTTTCACGCTCTGATTTGGCAAAAGTGCAACTTCCTCTTATCGTTGTAAAACGTATACAAGAAGCAAATCTTGTTGAATCGAACACACGTGAGTTGGCTTAATTTCGATGTCGTCATTTATTTATCCCGATATCGCACTCCGGAAGATTTTTTTCGATCCCTACGGATTAATCTTGCGCCAACGGTCAGCCTGTTCGCGTATCTAAGCGTTTGCCGAGATAGGTAACCTCTCTTTTCGACACGTTCACAACGCTTCCCTCCTATCGTCCGATCCACTCGCGGTAACGTGAACCGAGGCGTTCGCGCGACGAACGTGACTCGCGGATCGCATTTCGACTGGCTACGAAAATATCGGGCCCTAAAGCGTTGAAATCACCATGCGACTCGGTGATCTCGCCGAGCGAGCTTTCGGATTTTTGGCGTTCAAGTCACTGATCGGTCGTGATCGCGCGCGAGTCCCCGCGCGGCGACGACGCGGCCGCGCCACCGGTACGGATAAACCGGGACCATCGAAATTGCCGAGATAGGAGATGTGCGGAACAACAATTCCCTCGAACAATCTAATCGTGGAACGGTCGATCATCAACGGTTTATTATTTTGAGAATCAATATATAAACGTTACACGAGCACGTGAATGATCTCGTAAAAGATAATCGAATACAGTAATCATTATAATGAACACACAGCTATAGTAGATCTCTATCTCTCTTTCTCTCTCTTCTCCTCATTTTATTCATGTTAAATATAGAAAGTGTAACAAAATGTGACCAAAAAAGAGCAAACGATAAAGACAGTTAGAGCAGCGACGATGATAAGATAAGAAGTCCAAAGCGGATTACTGATCGCCCCGCGATATATCTACTCTAACTTCCATTCAAGAAAGTAGGTCGGTAAACTCAGAGCAAAATGACGTGAGAGTCATTAGCGCTGATCACGAGGGGAACATTACGGGTCCCACACACGTGTCCCACACGCAATAAAACTCGCGGCGGTCATTGTAAAAGCCCGACAAAGTGAGTCATCGCGGGAACCGAGAGCTAATGCGATTTCAAGCTCGACCTTAAAACATTTCCTCGTTCACCTAGGCTTGCATATTGCGTTTATTTTCTGCGAACGTGGATTCTTCCCGTCTACACGTATAGTTTATACGTTGATTATAAAATTGTAGGCTTTTTTTTTGCAGAATCATCAAAAGTGACTTCGACGAAATACGTCTGATTAACGTATATAGTCGGCAATTAACTTGTCAAGTAATGATATATTTCGTTAATGCGGCCACAGAATTATCAATGTTTTGTCGTCCGATGGAAAAAGAGATTAGATTAGCAAGAGCGTATGTTACACTTTTAACATTGTACCTTCAACAAGCGATTCTGTCGGCTGAAAGTGAGTTTGGTCAAATTCTTATCAATAATCGACGATCGCTAATTCATCAACGGCAAAATTATTGTTTATAGCAACATTTCTAGCATTTCTGTGTAATAACGTAATTCCTAACGTCGTTCCCGTTTATTCGACTTTTCTTTTCATGCGTTTAATAATAAAAAGTTTTATCCACGTCAATAAAACACCATAAATACCGCTTGATAGATTAATCGCCGATTAAGTTAATTGGCGAAATTTACGTGATTTATCGAAATCACTCTGAATTAAATCGGAACTTCGATAGCTCCGAAGTCGCCCGTATTTTGCACGCATGAAAAAACAAGATCGAACTAACTGATAAGAATCTATTGTATACTCACCAATGGTGCCTGTTTTCTTCAAAGAAGCTATATATTTTGCACTCGGTTCGAAAATGTTTTTACAGAGATATAACGGCGATAATGAATTTTAAAGTTTTACTGCGGCGTGCTTTTATTATTTATCCCTTTCCATCGATCATTTACATTAAGCGCGTGATATCCCATTTATGCTTGCCACGATGAAGTTTTTTATTTATTCTTATCATTAATAAACACGTCTGAGCCCATATCTGACAATTCCACGTACGCTTTACACTTAATGCTTACTTGATTGTTGCCAACAGTGCATCAATCATCTCTCTCGTAAGTCGGAGATGCAAGAAATATAATTTCAGCGAGAATCGAGAATGAAGCAAGAGAGTTATATTTTTTGAAAAATTCGGAAAAATTATATATGCCTAATTTTTCAAAAAATATAACTTTCGGCATATATATTTCCTAAAAATTCGGCATATACATTTTCTCTCGTTATAATAACTATAACGAGAGGAAATATATATGACGAATTTTTTAAAAAATATAACTTTCTTGCTGAAATTATATTTCTTATTGCATCTCGTTCGACTTACGAAAGAGATGATTGATGCACTGTTGGCATTGAACTATAATATAGTTTAATTAACCAATGTGAAAAATCAAGGAAATTTATCATGAAAATTAATTTTTTTCAGACTATCCGTAGAAAACATAAGGAGTTTTTCTAAATCTGCGGAAAATGAAAAACGGATACGAGGATTTAGGATTCAGTCGACGAACTTCTCAATTATCAAAAACCATGAAAAATGAGGAAGAAAAGAAACAGCGAGGGGGAAAGAAACAACGAGAATCTATGGGGCTCTTCGTAATTTCGTCGCGAGAGTGCATCGTCGCGCCATCGGACGTCACGTGACCGTACTATCAACCGCCACCGCCGCGACTTCACCCCCCTTGGAGCTCCGCCGGGCTCGTCGCTCGCTGAGCTCGCTCGCCGGCACGTCTCAGCTCTCGGCCGCGTAAGCCGCGTTCCGTTCGACACGGCTCGGCTCAGCTCAGCTCGGCGGAGCTTGAGGCGCATCGAAGATGGCGACCGGAGGGTAGGGTCGGGCCGGAGACGCGCACCGCAAGGCAACCTCTCGTCCCCTCCCCTCCCCGGTGAAGACGGCGTGGAGTATCGGGGCGAGCCGCCCGCTCGGGTCGAGTCCGGTGAGTAGGCAGGCCGCGTTACGCGAAGAGTCGTTTCGAGGTGTAATCACACGTGTGCGGCCTCGCACCTGTCGACGGCGTCGACGGCGCGGCGGTGGCGGCGGGTAACTAACCATCGGCGGCGGGCGGCGCGCGATCGACGAAATCCTCGCGCGATCCCCGGTCGTGGCTTTTGGTAAGTTCAATGCGCACAGATCCGTGTCACGGCGAGAAACGGGAGCGACGCGCGCGCGCGTGTGTGTATGTGTGTGTGAGTGCCGCACGCGACGTGACGTGACGTGACGTGCGTGCGTGCGTGCGTGCGTGCGTACATGTGCGTCGCACACGCTTCAAAAGCCTAATCTATAATACGGGCGAGGAGGAAGACCGGAGGAGGTCATTCGCGTTTACCGAATCGCGAGCTACGCCGAGGAGCAGGGGAGGAAAACGCCGAAGATCGAGAACGAAGTAATGAGAATTGAAGGGCCGAGGGACTTTTCCCGACGATGTTCGTGAAACACTTGTTTACGGCTCTGTTTTTCCTCCTTTATCCTGTGATTACCTTGCGATACAGTTTGCTGAGTAGAATCAACATTGTGAGCAACATTCCTTAATTGCTGTGAAAAAACTTGAGAATCTAACTAATTACTTTGCTATCTGTTTGTAAACTAAATAGCCTGTTTGTAAACTAAATTCTACGATAAATAAGTGTATCTGATATATCATAAATATCCTATTCAATTAACTCTAAAACTACCAGAGCGATCAAAATAATTGATTTGTAATTTTTTCCAAGTTTATAGCATTCTTTTAGATTTCCCTGATTTTTGATTGCAACGCATAGATACAATTGAATTGATCAGTTATGCCTTTCTTTTTTAAGAGATATATACATTAAATAGAAATGTTAAACAGAAAATATACATTGATCATCGTCTGTAGCTTTAACAAACTTTCGCGGGGAGTCTTAACGTCTTCTCGCGTTGCATCTCGAGCGCGAGGCGATTCTGTTAACGAAGCATCGCCGGCGCTTTATATTTCTCGTTAGCCGTGCCTCTGCTCCTCAGGTTGCTCCACTTTTCGCCCGCAAGCACACCACACGCCGCCGTCGCACGCCGTGACAGCCGACGGTGACAAAAATTGATCGGCGCGGTTAGCAGATCGGGTCACGTGAAGTACCGCGCGCGAGCTTTCAATCGCGCGATGTAAATGCCCTCCGCGATCAATGCCTTCGGCGTGCATGTGCTCGTGTACAAGGTGTCCCGCCGTCAATCGTGTGAAATTTTAATGGACCTTTAACGCGTTCGCACGCTCCGCTTCCCCGCGGTGGAAACTTTGGATAGAAGTCCGCCTTCGAGACGCGCTCTTAGGTCTGAATAATTTCATAGAATGCGAGAAAAAAGTCGGATTAGGTTTTAAAATAAAACGAACAAGAAACAATTAGTATATGTTTCAGCATAATGTAATATTATATCACTTAAAGTTTAATTAGTTCTTTATTAGGCGATCATGATTAAAATATTAAAAACTGCAATATTCGTCATAATTTTTTAAGCTTCAAAAATAAAATGAACAAGAAATAATTATTATATTTCGCGGCGCGTAACGTAAAATTGCATTACTTAAAGTAATTAGTTCTTTATTAGGCGTTTGTGAGCATTATTAAAATATTAAGACCGTATTCGTCACAATTTTTAAAACAATAATTTTGATGTTAATTAAAAATTCACTCGTGAAAAGAAATTTTATATCTTTTGTTATGTTTATAGTACTAATTTAGAAATTAGAAAGTTTCGTAATAATGATAACTAATCAGATATGCATCTGGGTCGTAAATGTCTTAATGCTTACCTCGCCATAACATCTCTCCGTTTATTATCTAACATCCGTAAATACAAATGAGACTGGTATTATCGATGGGCTTCCGCAATTTAATGCCGAATAAAGCTGATTGGAATTAGCAAAGAATTGCCTCCGGTGTCTCTAATTTCTTTCAGATCTGGTGGCGGGTTCCTCCAGTTTTCCGCTAAATCAGGATTCCGCCGAGGCGCGCAGTGGCTAAAACATACTAACCCATACACACGCACACGCAAATTCGCTCGTCCTTCATTTGTGTCGGTACCTAAATAAGCGATTAACACGCGCGTAACGCAACTCGTTCGCTCGTCAACGATCTAGTCAGAGGGATAGAGGAAAAAGAAGAAAAAAAGAAAAGGAAGAAGAGAAATGAATCGGCGAAGGAGGAAACCGTGACGCTCCGATCGAGATAAGGGTCGACACATCGCGAGAAACCGTAGCCAAGCCAAAGTGTGTAAATATAGAAACAAGATAACTAGGCTGATTCAGAGGGATCTCTCGACGCGGTCATCCTCCCCGTGATGATATCGTACCAAAGAAAAAAAAATTTCGACACCAAGTTCCTTCGTATATTCCAACGAAATCGACAGTGTTCGGAATTGCAGTAACGAAATGCAGAAGCGAGATTGAATTTCAGAAAAATCTCGATCGTCAAGTCTTCATCGACGTCGAATAAATCAGATAAGATAGATGAGAATCGAAAGGCTTAATCGAATCGTCATCCAAGTGCCATCCGGAGTGCTAGAGATTACGTTCAAAGGCGACAAATTAAACGAGAGCGCGAAGCGCGAATTACGCATCTAAATGGTTTTTTTTTTTTTTTCTAAAAAAAACGATCGGCGAAAGTATCGCGAAATGTGAATCCGAGGATATCGATCCGGCGAGGGACATCGGCGACGCGACGGCACGAAAATTCTGACGAGCTGGTCGAGTTCTCTGGTAACATCGATGCAGTGTTGGCCGGACGAGTCAGCATTTCCAATTCAGCGACCACAGAGAACGAGGAGAGACTCCCTTTCGTTGAAAAAAAAAAAAACCTTTCGCGATTTATCATAGTCTTTGCACAAATCGATGGCACCGAAAGAAAAACGTTCCTATTTTCTACAGTTTGTTCAGTCGCTGTCCCGCTAAGAGATAGAAAGCGTTGGCGTAGGGATGAAAAGTTTTCAACGAGTTTCATTTGATCTTTTTCTGACGTTTAGTAAACAAATATAATGATATAATTAATACGAAGCAGAGTAGTTTTATCTATTAAGTATTAATAATCGATTGAATCTAGTATCGTCACCGATAAGTTATACATAGAGAAAATAATAAATCTTAGGAAAAAATATATTCTGGAGATTCAAACGCCGCTTACATTTTAAATTTAATAAAAAACCAAAGAAGGGATAAATCGGGGAGTTCCAAATTCATGGCTTTATTCGAAATTCCGGAAACGAATTAGCATTGAAGTAAAAAAAGCGACGGTTAGTGTTGCATCCAGGCAAACGGCGGGGTGAAAAAGGTGAGAGGTCGCAGACGGTAGGAAGAAAACAAGAAAGAAAGAAAGAAAGGAAGGAAGGAAGGAAGGAAGGGTTGGTGATAGTCGCGCGGCCGAGGACCCGTCTGGAAGAACGCGGAAGGGGTGTCGTCGAAGCGAGGGGGTTCAGCAAGCGGGGGAGGAAGAGAGGAAGAGGAGCCCCGGTTATCGTCGGGAGGGGTGTGCATCGGGGCTGATATCGACCGAGGATTGCGCTTGCGTGGAAAAAGGCGCGAGCGCAATCGCGCGGTCGTTCCGTGAGAGCAACGGCGCCCTCCGCGTCGAAAGAGGAAGGAGCCCTCCCGTTCCCCGTCGTCAGTCGATCGTCGCGTCGACGAGAAACGGGGCCGCTACCACCGCCGTTCGGGGAAGACTTCCGGTTATTTTCCTGGCGGAGCCGGCAGAGGCCGGGTGCACGAGACGGGTGATTCCAACGCCCGCACTGGACCGCACTTCCGGAAGGCGAGAGCTGCCCGGGCGCGACCTCGCGGAGAGCTCGACTCCGCTCGGCACCGCGTCGCGCGAGGATCGTCATCGCCGCCGCCGCCGCCGCCACCACCGCGGGACGGGGAAAAACCAGCGCGGGCGGTCCGAGGCGGAGGGGAGGCACAGGCCGAGGTATATCGGGACGATAAGAGTGCGATAAGCGGGGCCGCGTTTTATAAACGCCTATGCGTGTTGTGCGCACCTCTCTTTCTCCTCTTCTTTCTTCTCCGCCTCTCTTGCTCTCTCCGACCTCGTTGCCGTCGCACGCTGATAAAAGACGAATCTGAAGTTTTCCTCGAGAGAGAGAGATCGCGCCGCTACCAGTTCGGAACTGCCGATGCCTCGTGGCGGTTATTAGGGTTAATGCAACGGCGATCTGATCGGGAATCGGTGGATTTCAATTCAAACTCTTCGCTCTTCGCTCGTTGACAACGATCGGGGTCACGGACGCCGTGTTCGATCACTATGTTTGAAACGTGAAGCGACATCGATGCCTGGCGACTTCGTTCGGTTTGACATGGAGATGTGGATCGTACGATAAATTCGCAGACTGAACAATTCGCGATTTACAGAGAGCCCTGGTCTCGAATTATATATCGCGAATGTCGTATCTATTGACAACATGATTTTTCGGGGTGGCGACGCGCGCTTACATGTTTGACCGAGGAAAGAAGCGATGATCGATGTGAGCTGTCTCAAGACGAGCGATCGATACGTCATACGATATGCAAAGATAATCGAAGCCGAGCGTCGAAGTCTCCCGAAGCGTTATCGGAGTTCGGGCTGCCTGGATGAACGCACGGCGCGATGATTAGCATGCAGCAGCAGACGGTCTTGAACAATGTAACCGGGCCCGAGCAGCCGCAGGAAGAAGTTCAGCTGACCGAATTGCTGCCGGTGAAGCAATCGCGCATCAGGGAAGATGTCTTCAAGGATGCCGACGCGACCGACGCTCTGAGGGCGCTCAGGAGTCTCACGGGCGACTGCAGCGATGGCGAAGGCTTTGATCTGCGGGAATTCAACTTCTGCAAGAGCGTCGAGCAAACGGAACGTCAGGGCGGCAAGCATCGACGAGCGGAGGCTCGTCGGAAAAGAACGGAAGGGACCAAGAGCGGCGCCAAAGACGTGGACCTTGAGGAAGAGAAAGATAGCCGGGTGGCAGAGAAGAAGGTGCGTAATGGCAGAAAGATCGTTCGCGTGAAGGCGCCGAAGAGGAAGCTGACGAGATCGAGTAAGAAGGACGACGACAAGAAGAGAGATTACGAATTGAATGAGAAATCGATTGGAAAGGATACCGCCGAATACGACGAGGAGTTCGCGCGTCACTGCGACGAGGAGGAGGACGGCGACGAGCAATTGTACTTGGACCTGGAGAAGAAAGACTGCTTTAAGGACGAGGTCTACGTATATAGACGAGAACCGCTGGATCCGTGCTCGAGTTCGGAGGAATCAGGTGCTATCGGTCACAAGGATCTCTGCGAGGATTATCCTATCACGGATGAAGAATTGTTCGCCGGAAAGATATCTGAGAAAGAAAAATGCAAGTCCAAGGCAGACGGCATTATTGAGAAAGAAAATCCCGAAAAGGAGCTCAGATTAAAGATCGACGCCATCATTCAAGCGAATTACTTGCTGGAGCGCGAGAATAACAACGTCGTCGCTTCGGACGGGCTCAAAATCGCGGAGCGCATTGGCACCTCCTCCGCCGCCACCGCCGCCGCCGCCGCCGCCGCCTCGATAAACGTAGAGAACAGCGACGGCTCCCTGTGCAATTTGGTGGAGACGAAGAAGACGAAGAGGAAGCGGACCGATCAGACCAAGCAGTCGAAGGACCAACCGAATTCTCAGAAGAAGTACTGCTGCGTCGTGTGCGACGCGCGCTTCAAGGGTAGCGGTGGTCTGCGGAATCACTACAAGGTGGTGCACGGTGCCGGGCCGGTGTTCAAGTGCGACGAGTGCGGCAAGGAGTTCCCGCTGAAGGAGCGGCTGAAGCTGCATGTGCGCACGCACACCGGCTTCAAGCCGTACAAGTGCCCGGAGTGCGACAAGAGCTTCGCGCGGGGCGGCCAGCTGGTGCAGCATCGTCGCACGCACAGCCAGGTCAGGCCGTTCCACTGCAAGCTGTGCTCCAACACCTTCACGTGCGCGGCCAATCTGTCCCTGCACCTCAAGCGTCACAACGGCCAGAAGGATCACAAGTGCGACCTGTGCGGGCGCGCCTTCGTGCGTCGCGACGCCCTGAAGAAGCATCTCGAGTGCCTGCACCGTGACGTCAAGTCGTTCCTCTGCGCGATCTGCAACAAGACCTTCAAGGGCCACCTACCGCAGCACATGAGGACGCACGCGCGCGATCGTCCGCACGGCTGTGCCACGTGCGGCCAGCGATTCGCCCAGAAGTCCCAGCTGACCGTGCACCAGAGGACCCACTCCGGCCAGCGGCCGTTCCGCTGCCTGGTCTGCTGGCAAGCCTTCGCCCATTCGACCGCCCTGAAGCTGCACACCCGACGACACACCGGGGAACGGCCGTTCAAGTGCTCCGAGTGCAATGCCGGCTTCACTCAGCTGCCGCATTGGAAGAAGCACATGAAGTGCATACACGGCAGGAACGATCCGTACGGCTGCAAGCGTTGCAAGAGCTTTTTTAGAATTAAAAGCGACCTGGAAAGCCACGAGAAGACTTGTCACCCGGAGATGGAGGTGGAGGATGACGATAGCGGCCTCCCGGCGAGTAGACCGGCCGGCGGCTCCGACGTCGTCGAGAAAAACTCTGTCACCGCGAAGTACAAGCTGATGACGGTGGAGAAGATGCGGCTGTTGCTGGCGGTGCTGCTGAAGAGGATTAGCAAGCAGGAACGATTGGACGCGCTCGGCTTCGGCAAACGTCTCATCGACGACGTTCTCCAGGACTCCCTGGTGTCCGCTGGCAAGGAACCGGTCACGGGAAACGGTTTGACCGAGCTTGAGGCTCTCACTCGAAACCTAGAAATTTTCCTGGAGTGGACAGTACCGAAGGAGCACTGGGAGAATTTCCGTAAAATGAAAAAATCGCCCGAAGATATTCTGGAAACGCTCACAGCTACGTAAATATGTTCGTTTATTAACAATAGTTTTATTACCTTCCTCTCGGCGTGAAGATTAGAAGTAGGAGTTAGATCAAGTCAATAGTATAAAATAATCTCACGTTTTTTTTTTTCAGAGTTTGCATCGAAATTTAATTATTTTCTCCGATTTATTCTTAATATTTTATACGCAATTTTTATCTATAATTTTTACATCTTCTTTTCTACGTTTATAATTTATTTATGATTTTCGCAGAAACTTTTTAAGACGTGAAGTATAGAATTCCGGGCATTGCAACGCGGTCATAAAATGATCTCTATATCCATTATCTTTGTAAAGACGAATAACAATTGTCAAGAGAATTCTAGGGAACTATTGACATTTCTAATCACGTCGATCGAAAATTCAACGGTCGAAGTGATATCCGTCGAGGAGATGTTTCCGTGTGATATCTAATCTATGATAACTAGCGAACTAGTTATTTTCTATGGTGCCATGTGTCATAATACTTGCCATACCAAACCAGTGAGTACACCGTATGATTTATAGAGGAGCTAAGTGAATTCTTTTATTTTACTGTAGCGTAAGATAAATCGGAGTAGAGTGTGTATTGTCGAATTAAATTGAAGCCAGGCGCGTTTCTCTCCCACACGACAGAAACATACCGCCGCGCATCTTCGTAGATACGGCGACTGAGGTAGAGTTAGATATTTCTCTTGCCATATTTGTTAAAAAAAAAAAAAAACACGTATGCAAAACACGAAACGGCGGATCGTTTTAGCACATACATTTTAAGCACATAAATCGTAAGCACGACTGTTTGTCAATCGTATACCAAAAAAAGAAAAGAAACTAGAAACGAGGCTAGCACGAGTCATTCGCAATTACGTTCTTTCACGCGCAATCGTTATATTATCCTATATATTTACAAAGATTATATACATCTATATACATATCTATTATATATATATACACACACATTTATAAATTGAATATTATGAGATTTTGTTATATATAAATGTGTTCACGGGCGCGTCCGCGGAAAACGGAGATTTTGATACAGCGACGTTCCCGTTGTAGTTGAATACTATTATATTCGTTACTTATCTCACTTATACGTGCACTCGCGCGCAACTGGGGGCTCGAATTGGCCGCGGATGAGCAAACACGTCGGCGTGCCGTGACATTGCCATCATCATAGGTAGTCATAAGTAAATGTGAGCAGACAATAATGAACGAAGGTTGCAAGTTTAGTATATTAGTCATTGAGAGAAGAAAGATATATATATATATACTTATATATATTGGTATTAGATGAATATACGCTCATGGTCGCGAGGAGAGAGGAATATCTTTTCGTAAATCGATTCCAAAGATGCCAAATCCCTGCAGAAACGTGATTCCGCAATTCATTTCACCTCGAAGGAAAGTAGAAAATTTTGCAGTAATATAAAATTTACTACGACACATCTGCTAATAATTGTTTTTATAGACGAGGACTCTCTTTTTGCTGGCGCATAAAATCAAAATTAACACGGTATTCCTAGAGAGTTGAGCGGCATCAGTTCAATGTAACGCTAAGTTCCTTTCCTCGACGTACCATGAGAGTATTTCTCAATCGTGCGTTTGAATAAAAATAGTCAAAAGTACTGTAGTCGGAGGTGCTATTTTGTGCGATGTAATCGTTTTGCAATATCGTTTGAAGCTGCTGTTCGAAAAGAGATTCGTTTGCCCGAGCTTTCTTTTCGACGCGCAAGAATGATCGAATTGTCGAATCCAAAGACTTTGTTACTTTCATTGCCAAATATATTGTATGTACCGTTAAGTTTTATATGATTTCAATTTTATTATTACATAGCGGGCATCTCGAGATGTATTTTGCGTTCGTAAAAACGAAAGAGAGAGAGAGAGAGAGGGAGAGAGAGAGAGAGAGGGAACGGTGCCGTGTGAGCAACACGCGTATTCATGCGTGTGACGCACCTTAATGTATATTAACATGAGCCTGAATGTATAGCGTACGCAGTGACTTAGCGTTTTCAAATTTATTCGGAAGATCGAAATCTACGCTTCGGGTTCACGCGGATGCAAATGCGGGTCGGAGTGCACTTTGAATATAGATCGAGGTCGGGGAGGAGATCCGTTTCGAATAGTCAGGCAGGAAGCGTAGCTTCTCATATTTCCTCGACGAAGTCCGATTACGATTTTGATTTTACGGTGCCAAAGCAAATAAACAGCGCTCGCGAGAACGATTTGTCCTGCGTCCTTTCGCGAATTTTATTCTTATTTTTCTTTTCGCGCGAGATCACGAAATTAATATTCGAATCACGTTTCCCTTTTCTTTTCGGCATCAACGAGATCGGGATGCTATTTATTGTTTTTCTTTAGTGCCATAAACTAAACATAGTCATATTGTACACATTAATATAATGTGCGATGTACGGAGAAGACGATTTGAATAAACACGTTTCTTTATTCGCTCGTTTCCTTGTGAATTTCACTTTTCTATTAATTCTCATAAATATAGATTCATGAACGTCTGAATAAGCATCGTTCCATATATATATGTATAAAATATTTATTATATAAACAATGATTAAAATTGTATTTTTTTCACACGTTATTCGTATAACTGAATTAGAAACATATACATATATCAACTTAAAATAAAATATAAAAAACATATATACATACATCACACTAATTGTTAGAAATCATGAGATTTACATACCGCGATAGAAAATTCACGTTTAATCAATAGTATTATTAGGATCATCCAGGGTTATCCAGGAGGATTATATGAGGCATTAAATTCAATACCAGAAGAATACGAACGGTTTTCTCATGTCCACGTGTAAGTCAGTGATATCTAAACGTAGGACCTGAAATAATTTTTAAACGTTTCAAGATTCACTTGTAATATCGTTCTGCTTTCAAATATTTTGCATTTTTATTCAATGAAATACTTACGTTTGATACAATGTCATATGTAAATCCTATTAGTTTGTTATTTAGAAACAGTTTATTAATTCTCGCGTATCGTAATCCCAAAATCTGTACGTTTCCAAGAATTATCTCTTCATCAAAAGAGCCTTTCTCCAGTTCCACATTCCACAAATTAGATTTGTTTGCGAAGAAAGACAGCCATAAATATTCTTTGTTTTTTATGGAATCTGCAGACAAAAAAGTAATTAGCAGTCAAAATACAAGTTCGATATAATTAATACAAAATATATGCTTTACCTAAGCTATCACCATCGTCCCAATACAGTTCTCCTTTGGCATCTTCATTTGAGTCCAACGCTACTATTAATTCAAACACGTTCTTTCTGCTCTCTGTCGTCGTTACACCCGGTTTCTGTGCTGGAATTATCGCGCCTGAACGAATCAATAATGGTATTTTGTCAATCGGTGCAGGTAAGGTATAATGAGAGCCATCAGAGCAGACTGCGGGTGCAAAGGTATAATAATCGTACCAACACTGATGGTTCGGTAAGTAAACATCTATCTCAGTTTTGTTCTGTGGGGAATATAAGTCACAGCGATTAGCTAAATTATCAAAGCGCCACCCATTATGTAAATAATAAAATGAATTGACGACGTACCTCTTCGAGAACTGGAGCGATCATAAGCGCATTTCCCCAAAGAAATTGCGTATCAATGTCGTAAGTATTCCGGTCATCGGGAAATCTATTAACATTCAATATGCATGCGTTATTCACGATATGGGTGCGGCAGAGGGCATCGATACGTACTCGAAGAATAACGGCCGTGCCACGGTTTCCCCAAATTTATGTGCTCGGAAGAATAGGGTGTACAAATACGGTAACAATCGATAGCGTGCCTCGAGAGAATTTTTTGACGACCGTACAACCAAGTCGCCCAAAGCAACTGGATCTTGCTCCTATTTACATACATATTATAGTATATGCATTTATATATTAAGAATATATGTTAAGAATATTTCAATAATATTATTAATCGATATACATCGGCGCACTCACAATTGTATCGTCGGAATTATGATTTCGAGAAAACGGATAGAAGGCCCCAAGCTGCATCCAGCGATTGCACAACGCAGCGGTTGTGTTTCCGTCGAAACCGCAGATATCCGCGCCCACCATTGGGATTTGATAGAAATTGGACGACAAGATTGCTGGAATACTCATCTTCAGATCATGCCTAATGAAATAATTTCTTAATTAGAAAATGAAGTGGAAATATGACAATGTACATTAAGACGAATTCTTAATTACCATGATGAATAAACGTCACCCGTCCAATGACCCGCGTAATGGCCGTGTCCCACCCAGGTTGAACGCGATATTATAAACGGTCTCTTGTTTCGAATCTTCCTAAGGGCACTGTACATATATTTGTGATTAGAATAAATTCTTAATTCTCCATAAAAATTGGAAGATTACAGATTGTTCTGTTACTTACTAATTCGTTGTAATCGCTTGGCTCGTCCCATAAGTATTGTGAAGATCATAATGAGCGCCCAAATAATGTTTCGCATTCATGCAAAGGGTTTTCGTAGCGAGCAAATTGCCGACGACATTGGGCAGATAGGCAGGATAATCTAGATTATTGTGTACACAGCCGTTCTTGTGACCATTGTAGAAATTGGACGGTTCGTTCATATCCTTGATGATTGAAATAATTTGAGTAGTTTAAGAATCGAGTGACTCAAAAGTATCAAAGTAATTTTTTTTTAACCATTCGACACTTACAATCCATGCGCCATCGTATGCGAAACTGCTGTGCATATCGGCCATCATATTTTCGTAGTAGATCATGGTTTTAGGATTGGTGAAATCGGGCCATACCGTGGAAACGAGATTCCAGACTTTGCCGACGAAAGGTTTGTCGGACATACCGTCCTTCACGAATATATCTTGTTTCATTCCTTCGTCGTAAGGCAGATAAGAATCTTTACCTTCGGAAGCAGATATGCCGGCGTCTATTAAGGGAATATAATGCATTCCTGCCTGTAACAGAAAAAAAAATATTGTTCTATGATACGTGCTGACTCCTGCCAATTAATAATCTTTTATAGTATACTGTACCGAGTGAATTTCTTCCACAAACTCAGGCAAATCTCTGAATTTCTGTTTATTATATGTGAAATCATTATTTTTGTCCATATAATCCAGATCATTCCACTGAGTGTCCTACAAACACAAACAACATATGATTTATAATAACGTACAGCTTACACTCTGAAACGTTCTGTAAATGTTGCAGTAGACATTACAAATGGGATTCCAGCCGCTCTCGTTCTGTTCCATACTGCTTTAGTATTTTCCAGCGATCCATAGCCAAATCTAATTAACGTACAAAAGAATATTAATATCCATCGAATAATATTTCGAATATATTGAATTGAATATTTTATACTGATACAATACCTGCATAAATGGAAACCGAGCGACCAGTAGGGTGGCATGAACGGTTTGCCTACGATTTCGGAATATTGTTTCACCACATCGGCTGGAGTCGGCCCCAGGAAAAAATAGATATCGAAAATACCGCCGATCGTCCTGAACGTTATAGCCGGTGTAGGCTGCAGTATCACATCTAAAATATATGAAAAATTATTTAGAATAAAATTCTATATCGTGTATCCATTTTAGGGAAAGAAAGACACGTACCCATGGCGTTACTGTTTAGAAATAAAACTCCATGAGCCATTCCAGATTCCTCCATAATGATGTAAAACGGATGAGATCCATACAAATTCGCCTAATTAGATCAATAGAGAAGACGTTACTTGCAATATGCAGTAATAATCCATTTGAGAATGAAAAAATTAAGCAACGTACGTTTTCCGTTGGCGGTTGATCTTTATTGAATAGAGTGAACATCTGCCAATTAGTGTTCAATTTTAAGCTCGATCTATGCTCGCCAATGCCGTAAATGTTGCTCGTTGGCAGCAGTGAGCTTATTTGTAAAAACTGGTCGGCAAATATGAAGCCTCCAATCCCAATGGAATTAAATCTGCATACAGAATATATTATAAAAGTAATTTAAATAATAATTTTCATTCAACTTTATTTAATATATCAAAATTATAACAATTAATCTTTAAAAATCCATTAAAACCTCATAGACAATATTTTGAATGCAACATATAAAATAATTTATACTTACATTGTTGTGTTATCACTGGTTCTGTTGACCTTAAAGCCCGGCTTTACATCATGGCTACTAAATTGATATTTCGTGTTAGCAACTTGGTATAAAAATGGCTTCGGATCCGATCTAATTGGCCATGGCGGTTCATACCGTGAGTTCATGGGATCATATATCTAAAGATTGTATTATTATTGTATTGTATTGTTCTCTTATTACAGTAGCGATACAAAACTAGAGTATTCTATAAATATTCATATTCATTGTACAACATATTCATCTAGGTAAATACCTTCACACGCAGAATTGAGCTGTCTATGCTTGAGGCTTCTATCTTCACGAGAGGCACATTCTTCTTGTACACAGATTCCTTCTCTCGGCTGAGAAAGCCCGAGAAGTTGCTGTCATCCTGGGTGTGGTTAATGTATTTATACAGAGCCCATCCGTCCGGGTAGTAACAATAAGGAATATTCAGCGGCGTATTCGTCTCGTTTTTGTTCCTCTCAATAGGATTCCAGCAACACCCTCTGTCTGCACAGGAGAGTTGCGACGCTCCATTCTCCGGATGACAGTCAAAGCGCGATATTTCAGGAACATTGAGGCACTGCTTTAAAATATATATATATATAAAATATATAAAATAAATAATATAATGCTGCAATAAATATCCCACTAAACGGAAATGGATTGAAATTTTTCAAATTATGGTTTAAAATGAATTGAAATAGATTGGCCTTCGTGGAAATTAATGCATTTCTATAAAGGCCAATCCATTTCAATTCATGGCTTAGAAAATTTCAATGCATTTAAAAAATATATATTTTTATCCATTTCCATTTACTGGGATACATATAAATGATATGAAATGTTATCGATCTGTTTTTCTTAAGCAATAAAAGACTTTAGATTTTATTTACTTGAGCATTGTTAAAAGTTGCGTTTTCTATTCTTGCTCCATTTTTCTCGTTACTTTCTTCCTTTAATGGCACTATTTTGACATAATCTTGTTCGACGTACCAAGGATACCAATGGATACCAAGAGTATTCATTAACTGAGCATTGTTAAAAATTGCATTGTCTCCAGATGCGCTCTCTTCTTCCTTTAATGGCGCTGTTGTTTCTTGTTCGATGTACATATCGGGAGTATCTGTTTGAGTATTGCCAAAAATAGCATTTTCTCCAGGAGTATTACTTTCCTTCGTCAATGGCACTATTTTGCTGTCATATGTTTCTTGTTCGATGTAAATATCGGGAGTATCCACTAATATGTGCTGATACCTCGTCTCCTCGATCCTGCCGTTGTTTACATTAATTATAAATTTCACTTCTGTATTATAACTGTTCACAGTGGTGCGCAATGGATTTGTGAGCTTGTATAACAACGGAAGACCGAGATTAAGGAACAATGAGGCCGCGATGAGACCGAAGAGGAACAACATTATTATCCGTTTTATGTAACGTTTATCGAGATTCGGCCCCTCTCTTCCATGTCCCTTTATCAATGCCTCATGTGATTCATTGCTCAATGCTTCAATCACGATGGCATTAAATCCTCCCGCAATATTGTTCGTATGACCTTTGCTCGCGCCGGGATATCCTGCTTTCTCAGGAACATCCTGCCCACTTGCCTTTACGTCAGTCATTTCTCCAAGCCGTTTGATCAAAACCGGCTGCGGCAGACAATTCCCAAAGTTATGCCTGAAAGCGATAAGGATGTTAAAGATGCATTTTATGGCATAAACGTATTTGCTGTACAAAGTCATTACTGTCAAGACGAATGGATATCAGTGAAATAAATGTGTTTCTTTGACCAAGTCTAAATTTAAATTGGACTGTTCCTGGGCGAAACCCATAATTTTTTCGTTGTCTCGACAACGTTTTGCCGTTCGAACGCAGGCATTTTTAGTCTACACGGAAAATATTGTATATTGCGTTTTATCATATATATATATAAATATTATTATATCATTATATATAAATATTCAGATCATAACCTGCAAATTATCGTGACTTCATGTATTCGCCGCGCAAATACGCACTGATACGCACTAGAGGCTTCCGAGAGTATTCCGCACTACACGTGCCGCTGTGCCCGTCATAAGATGACTTAACAATTAATTAGAGTATTATTTTACAAGCGGACAGAATCCGAATATGTAGACCGAATTTGTCCCACTCCACCAGCCATTGTGGACGACACACATACCTATCAGTGTGTTTTGATTTTCGCATTGTGTGTGCAGTGGTGCTGCGTTTATCTGCGTTGCGTCACGCATGCATCATCTCCGCTTGGACTTTTACCGAGCATTTTAATATATACTCGCGGATTAATAATGATTCAGTAAGCAAAATGGGAAAGTTACTCGCATTGTTACGCGAGTAACAAATAAGTTACAGGCAATTTGCGGTCTCTCCAGATTATCCTTTTTGTCATCAATTCGCTTTTATCCAACTTGAATGCAACAAACATTCGTCAGCATCCAGCTGTCGCCAAACTGAGTCAGAATTAGTTGCCGACATGCATGTATGTATGATACGTACATGCTAACTATCAATGGTCGGTTTGCCTAAAGTTTCCCGATATGTTTTTATCAAATTCATGCCTTATCACTTTGCGAGATAAAACTGTATATTTTTAAACTAAATATATAACAGAGCAAAGCTGGTTGAAAGTTTCGTATCGCTGCGTTCCTGAATCAATAAATTGCATTAGTCTAAAGTGGCAAGGCACGAAGTTTCAAAATGGAAAGATGTATTAGAACAAAATGAATTTTTTTATTAGACTTGACCAGCAAAACGGATGCATTTACATGTAAATTTTTATACAAAAGAAATTTCGCGCGTTATCACTGGGAATTACTGGGGCAATTCTCTTTCTCTTCTTCGCACTTTCGAACGATTCCTGGAAGCAAAAGAATTCTCTTGAGTAATCTCTCGTGAAAAGTCAGGTATTTTCCTTCTACAAAATATATGATAAGATCTTACTCTTGCAAATTTCGTTCAAAGCTCCAACGGCTGGTGATTCTGGCATCTCCGTCAGAAAATTTTTACCCTCGTCGCAACATCTGGCCAGCAACGGGTCTAAAGGTATCGAGCCTAAGAACTCCACGTTTAATTCGCTCGACATCGTTCGCGCACCACCTGACGAAGCTGGGAATATTTCTGCGGTATTCTGCAAATGAAGATGTTTCATTTTGTGATATTGGATGTCTGTAATGGATGCTTCGTTAATCACGCCCTCCCGTTCCTCTCTTTCGTTTTCATTCATCGCCGCCCTCACCTTGCACTTAGGACATACGAAGATACTCATGTTCTCCACCACACCCAAGATCGGAACGTTCACCTTTCTGCAGAAGTCTATCTCTTTCCTGACGTCTAAGAGAGCGACTTGCGGCGGTGTCGTGACAATTACGGCACCGGTAATGCCGGCACCCTTGAGATACGACGTAGCCGACAAGTGTTCGTCCGACGTGCCGGGCGGTGTGTCCAGAATGAGGTAATCTAAGCTGCCCCAGTCAACTTCCGACAGGAACTGCCTGATCATACCTGAATATATGCAGATAGATTTTTACACGATAAAAATCATAACTAATATAATAATATAATAAGAATTGTTGAAATCTTAAAAATATACGGTACCATTTTTCTTCGGTCCCCTCCAGATAACTGCATCACTTGGACCACTGAGCAAAAATCCAATCGACATCAGTGACAAGTTGTCCTCGATATACTAGAACAAAATAATAAAATGCGTTATGTAACAGCTTCTTTTTTAACGGCATAGTAATTCCGTTTTTCAATGAGTTTACTCACTACAGGGGACCATCCTGATCCACTTTGGTGAACTTGTTCACCAAGTGCTCCCAGTACCCTTGGCTGCGATGGTCCACAAATGTCGATGTCCAATACTCCCACCTGAATAAATACACAAACAAGATTTGAAATATCTCTATAGAATTTCATGTGTGTGTTATTGATATATATATATAAAATTGAAATTGATAATTTAAATATATATAATTTAAAATTTATATGTATATATATATATATATATATATATATAAAATTTAAAATTTATATGTGTATATATATGTATATATATACATATAAATTTTAAATTATATATATTTAAATTATCAATTTCAATTTTATATATATATATATATATATACATATATATTACAAAGAAATTAATTAGAATTATATTTGGCACTTGTATATCTTTATTTATTTTGATTTGAGATACTGAGAGAAAATGAGAACACTAAAAGTCTGGTAATCAATAAGGGTCTCTGGCACCGGTTGATACGACATATATAGGCCTTTAGTTAGCTATAGATATTCTCCGTCTGAGGTTATTTCCCACAAACTAGCTGCTAGGCGTTCACTATGTCAACATGTACATTGAAAATCACATGGATGTACTTGGAATGGGCAGAAGAGTGAGTTGTTACATTAATTTGCTTTTTAACTTTATACAAGTGTGAAGGTGACTTTATATAAGTGTGACTTGTGCGATAGTAAAATATAAGACATTTATGCTTAGCATTTATATTAGCATGACATAACACACATACTTAGAACATATGCGGAAAATTAGACACATAAGATAAAAAAAATTGAGTATTATGTTTCAAATAACGTTCACATTGAGCACGTATTATATTCCTCCTCACTTATGATTTATATAGTTACATGCTTACATTTCTGTCAGGATTATTTGCTGCAAGACACCTGGACAGCAACGACGTCACAGTACTCTTGCCTACTCCTCCTTTGCCTGAAAGCACTAGCAGCTTATTTCGCACCGAAGAGAGCCTTTCTTTCACAAGCGCAATACCAGGATCTGGCTGTTTGGTGGCTCCGGAGGAGCACAGCGACTGATTCGGGCATCCCGCACAGGCTGACGCTTTGCCAGCATCCTCACTCTGGGTTCCAGGACAGTCTGAAAATTTTATAAGTTCCTTAACCTTTGCAGCACTCTGTGAATATATACATACATATCTAGTAAATATGATTTGACAGAAAATGAGAAATGATGATTCACACGTGATAACATCCATATAGTAAGAATGATAGCTCATTTTATTATTTCAGCCAAAAATTATCTAGTTGGTATTTTTTTAGTGTAACATAAAAATTATATATTTTCGAAATAATGTAATGAAAAGTATCAAAAAAGTGGCATGTTACAGCTGTTCTAACCTAGTCTTTAACTCTGATCTATCATATCATAAACATGACGTAACGTAAATGATATATGTCAGTGATTATGTAATTTTAACTAATGTTAAGCTTACATGCTTAACTAATTAATTCAATTTATTCGCAATATCGATTAAAACCAAATTGCGTACACACTCACGTTCGGGAGCCTCGCTAGGTACATCTGCCATGTTGAATCATCAACTTTACTCTGACATACACATGTTAATTGCTATTGCCCATTGATATGTATATGAATATAAAAAAAAAATTGTTTTTCAGAATGTTGTAACTAGTGACTATTAAATTTCTGTTGTTATATTTTACTACTGTATTTTTTCTCCTTTCAAGAAAACTTTTTTAACACAATTAATGATTAGAAAGACAATTAAATTTTTTATAAACCTTATTTATTAAAAAAAACATGGCTCTTGTATCTTAATGATTTTCCTGATAAATATCCCTCATTACATTATAATAATTATATTTTTATAATCCATAGATATTTATTTAGCAGAACAGATAATTATGTTATCTATTTTTCAAGATTTAAAAAATATTACCTTTGTGTTGCAAAAATAATTTTAGGAATATGCTCTGACAATATATTAAATTAAATAAATTCATGATGTGAGATATGTAATTTAAGTTTTTTAAAATTGAAACAAAAGACAATTCCTTTTTACGCCTGTATATATAATTTCTAGCAATTGCAACCATGGAGTACAGCCGCAGGTTCAATGTCTTATATGGAGCCAATAGTCCCGATCCGTATAGGTGACTATACTCGTACACACCATTTACTACCATGGAGACCGAATGTCGGATTCGAGAATACAGAAGTTATTCCCTTGTAAGTAGATTCGAGTCACACACACTCTCTCTCTCTCTCTCTCTTTCTTAGAATTAACTGTAGAATTCACTTGCTTTATCATCATCCTGTATGGCAACTGTAGAGATGTCGTTCTTCGAATCCCTTAGAAAATGATATTGATTTAACAAACTGATGCTGTTCTGTACACGATATCTCTGTCTCGATAGATTCTTACCTTCCCCCTCGAGTAAATACCTAGCAAACAGAGCTGGACATGGATATCAAGTGTATAATTGTTATATTACTCTCTCTCTCTCTCTCTTGCAGAGCTACAAAGTCGATATCGAGTTACGCGCTGGACGCGAGCAGTAAGATGAGTACGCGGCCGTTGAAATTTCCAAATCTGATCACGGGCTATCAGCGCAATCCCGTACACGCGTCGCAAGCCGCCCTTTACACGAGATACACGCCGCACGAATGGTTTCAGAAACAAATGAGATATTACAACGAGGCGGATTCGCAGCGGCATTACTCCGAGAGGACGCGAAACGACGCCGTGAGGATTATCAGGTGCGACGGCTCCTCTGTTGGGGAATAATTTTTAAAATATAAAAGAATCGTATATAAAACTCGTGTCATACGTCTGAATCTAAAATATATCTTTCCAGACATGCCGAGGAGAAGATACAGCACAATCAGTACGACACCAGCCGTAGACTTGGCGAGAGGATAAACGACATAACATTTTGGCGCAACGAAGTGGCAGCGGAACTGGAGAGAATGCTTCACGAGATCGAGAGACTCCACGATTGCCGAAGTGTCCTGGAAAAGGCGATACGGGACATCGAAGGGCCGCTACACATCGCAGAGGAGTGTCTGTACCACAGGGAAGCTAGAAAAAGTACGCAGGAATTATAAAAGCTATTTTTAACTCATATACACACATTTCATTTGTGTCTCGGATATTATGTAAAATTACTTAATAAATAATCTTGTACCTTTCCTCAGGCACGGAATTGGTACACGACGAGTCGGAAAAATGTTTACTGCGAGAGGTAGAAAACTTGCGGGCAAATCAAAAGAAGCTGGAAGCCTGCTTGGACAGATGCAAGGATCAGGTAAAATGTATCTTAATTTGTATGATAGTGAAATTCCTTATCGATATAATTAAGTAATTAGTGTTACTTTTGCTTGCAGTTACGAAATTGCAGAGCTTCGCAGAATCAACTGGAACTGGATTTGAAGAACAAGGAGAGTGCTCTGGGCATAGACTCTATTTGCCACCAATTGAACAATCACACTCATGGATTGCAATATTATTCTGGGATTGACAAATACGATCCGTGGTAATTAATTCCACTGCATCTGTAAAAATATAACTTTTAATTGACTGTTATAATTAAACGCTGGCCCGTGTTAGTGTCTCAGAGCAAGAAACCTGGGCGGACGCGGTGAACAGAATAGTGCAAAGGTCCCAAACGGAGCGGAACAAATCCTGTCAATTGCGCACCACCGCCGAGAGCCTTATCAATAAAGTCGCGCAGGAAATGTGGAATACTTGGAGCAACACCAACAACGCTTTAACGCACAGATCGTCCGAATTGCTCGAGGCTAAGAACAAGCTCCAACAGCATTTGCAAAAGGTAGATATAAAACGTTACGCGCGCAGTCTGTTCTCTCCATTCGGATTAAACGGGAATCGTGAAATATTTGCAGGTGCAGCAGGAGATATTCGGCGTTGAAAAAAATCTGGAATTAATGCGTAAAGCTATCGCGGACAAGAGTTACGCGACTAAGGTTGCGCATACGAGGATGGAGGCGAGGATGCATCGTCCCGATATGGAATTATGTCGCGACTACGCCTATGCGAGGTATGTACAGCCTCACTGTGCGCCAGCGGCGCGCGAGACGAGACGTTATTTGAAAATACCATTCCCATATCTTCTTGCAGCCTTCAGAAAGAGATCGACGAGATAAATCATCAACTCGAGCGAATGCACAAGTCGTTGAAGGAACTCGAGAATCAACATCAGAAACTGTTGCGAACTCGCACTATGCTCGAACACGATCTCGCCCTTAAGGTCGACGCGCTATACATCGACAAGGAGAAAGTTTGCGGTCTCAGACGCGCGTATCCCGTCAACGCACTGTTCAGATTTTAAAGATATATTCTCTGTTAATGCCGTGCTCTATATACGAATACTGCCATTTATGAGAATGTTCAGCCGTGAAATCACTTGGAATGCACTCCTAGAGAAATTTAGGCTACGTGACATTTCCACGATTCGAAGGAGGTTCCAAAAAATATATATATATATTAAATATTTATTTGTTTGTACAATTGTAATAACTATTAAAAATAATTACGCTTTATTTCGTTGAATGACTCCTGGCATAGCTCGGTACAGGCAGACTAAATCCTGGTTTGGCCTCGAAAAACGTGTACGAGAGAACTATCTCGTCGACGAACTCCATGTTTGGATCCTCGGTGAATTCCGGATCGATGTAGAAGAACACTGGCATGTCGACCTTAACACACAAGAATGCAACAATTCGTACTACACTGCCTAATCGTATAGATTATATACAAATGTTCAGAATTTCTGTTGTCTTAGAGAATAACTGATACCAAAGTAAATATAATTGCCGTTTAAGTACACAAAAACTGGACTGTCGTATTATTTTACACGTACGATGCCGATGAACTCACTTGTTCATGCGGGTTGAGCATCTGTTCCTCGAAGCAGAAGCACTGTATCTTATTAAAGTACTGCCCGACGTCGAAAGGCAAAACATTGTACGTGGATATCCCTATGACCTGATGATCGGTCGGATTTGTGGCCGTGTAAAACGCCAGAGCCGTCTCCCCGGGAATAACCGTGATCTCCCTTTGCTGCGGCTTGAAGTTCCACTGCATCGACGTCGCCACATCCGCGTTGAACTTGATTTTGATCCTTCGGTTTCTGACAGGCGACATCGTGGTCACCTTACTGGCGTCGTGGCCAGCTGATACTGTCCCACCATAACTGTAAGACTACGGAACAAACGGGGGAAACTGAGACAAACGAGATACATATGTGGATTGGCATCGATACAGCTGCAACATACAGATGGTACTGAATTCACTGAAGTAAAATGAGAAATCGAGCACGAGAATAGAGATGTTGAGAACACATTGATCCTCAGGGGGATCGCGAGCACGCACCTGGCAGAACATTCTGTACAGAGGCACCGCGGAGTAGCTCAGTCCAACTACCAGAACCCCGACGCCGGCCCAGTAGAAGGCAGTGGAGCGCAATCTCCTACGGAACGTACCGTCAGAGTGGTCCTTCATTAGATTTCGCGACACGCTGGTGTGTATCTGCCTCACGCAGGTTCGTGTCAAAAGTCGACAGACGTTGAGATACATTTCTCTATAGAAATCTCTTCCTAATGCCCAGTCAATCCAAGGAACACAGCCCGCCTAACCTAAACTTAACCTGAAAACAGCGACCTTCACGTTTATCGCGTCGTTCGAAATTAAACTCTCCTCGGAGGCGTGACGGCATTAAATGGCAGGGAGACGAGACGAGTTTTCTCAACGAGGCATGCCTGTCTCCGATCGATATTACGAGGTTCGGATAAAATTTTCGGTACAACGTCTCCGGGATTGAACAACAAACAGAACCGCCGTGTGTCGCGCGAGGCGCCATATTGCCGGTTGCCAGCGACACTCGCTCACTCTCTCGGCACTGCCCGGCACTGCCCGGCAGTCCCGTCTCGGCTCCCGGTACTGCAGTGCGAAGTTGGTAACCCTGCATACTTCATTTCGAGTCGGCGAGCGGCACGCGTCGTTCCCGCAAGACGCGTAATAGTCTAAGAGCTGGCTACATGGGGTGCGACATGCCTCGGTGCATGAAATATTTTACCTGGAAAAGGTTCGATTGCTACCAGCAAAGCGAAAGCCGGACCGTCAGAAGGCGCGCTGGAAGACAAGTGCGTGGGCGGACGATCAAACGTGTAAATTGTCCAACTAAAAAAACTGTCGATGTGCACGGCTGAAAATTTACATAGATATCGAGGATCATGAGAAAAAG